CCCAGACGACCAATTCCTGTACACAGATTCAAAAACTGCTCCCAGACGACCAATTCCTGTACACAGATTCAAAAACTGTCCCAGACGACTAATTCCTGTACACAGATTCAAAAACTGCTCCCCAGACGACCAATCCCTGTACACAGATTCAAAAACCTTCTCCCAGACGACCAATCCCTGTACACAGATTCAAAAACTGCTCCCAGACGACCAATTCCTGTACACAGATTCAAAAACTGTCCCAGACGACCAATTCCTGTACACAGATTCAAAAACCTTCTCCCAGACGACCAATTCCTGTACACATATTCAAAAACTGCTCCCAGACAACCAATCCCTGTACACAGATTCAAAAACCTTCTCCCAGACAACCAATCTCTGTACACAGATTCAAAAACCTTCTCCCAGACGACTATACAGGAATTTGGGGGTTGAATTTCCTTCCATAAAGTAACCTCAAAAACATAAAGTGTCTTCACACTAAATTTCTACAGAATGGCATAGCTTATAATATTAATACAATACCGCAGCCAAATAAGTTAATTTAGACATTTCAAAGGAATGCATTGAAAAGTAATATAAAAAAAATCTGTCAGGGAAGCTATTGTCTCAGTGTTGATTTGAGGGGAAAGGTTTAAAGAGCAGTCTGACTATCAGTCTGTGTTTTAAAGAGCAGTAGATTGCTGACCATAAATAGGTGACTGTTTTGAAGGTTGATTACGTACACTTACCTTGTGATATTTTACGACAACTGACATGAGGACATGATATTAAGAGAACTTCTTGTTAAATACAATAAACAGGAAAAGTGTGTCTATGAAAACATGATCATCTGTTTATCATTCCTACGTCAGATTAAATCAGGCCAGCGTGACTGTTTCTGATATGACCTGTTTTGTATTATATTGTGTATACATTCTAATACCTACTCTTTCAGGGCTCTGAAAACATGTGAGCAGTGCTTGCCCGTTTACCCACTGGTGGAGTCTGAGAAGATCGAGAAAGATTCCACCGGTTATGTGGTGTACAGTTGTGTCCTGGCTATCCTGCGAGTGTTACTCAACCTCACACACGATAATGGTAAGGCTTTGTGCATTGACTTCACCCTCAGTCATTTGTAGTCAGATGCTCGCTCAGTACACAGATACTCACCCAGGAGACACTCATCCTGTACACA